ATGCGCAGGATTCCCCAAGTTGGGATACGAACCCAGGCTTCCTGTTTTCTGGACGGTTGACTTACCACTTGAGCATACAGGATCTCTACTTCTTTCTGTATCTCTGCTTCTGTCTCCTTGAACCCCAGTCGGCCTCAGCAGATGGCCGCTCACACTGAGCCTGGTTCTAATGGAGGTTTATTCTTGTTAAAAGGGAGTTTTTCCTCTCCCCTGTCGCTACAAGCATGCTTGGTGTGAGGGATTGCTGCAGAGTCAATGAGTCGATGCAATCAACTGGTTTTCATTAGATAGGAAACTTTGAATCCATCTGACTGGAGAATCTGGTTGAATTGTCTCTGTAAAGAGCCTTCAGATGACGTTTGTTGTGAAATGTTGCTTTATGAATACACTGAATTGTATTAAAATTGAATATAAGTTTGTTTATGAACTTAAGCTTTTTACTCAAGTAAAAGTAAAATCTCTAAAACTTCTTAAAAAGTACAAGTAATGCAGGAAAAAGGCTTTAAACCTTATGCCAGCAACTGCACTACTCTATGAAAGGAAAACTTCTGGAGATTCTGGACGATAACTTCCTTATAGTTTTTTATTTTATATCTAATGATAAAAAAAATTTCTTTGCATCATCCTAAAAAACTATTTATTTTGGTATCTGGTGAACAACAGGTTGGTTCAGCAAAGAGTCCAACCACAAAGAAGTTAATTGTCTGGATAAAACAAATTAATTTGATGTTTTCTATTTTTTTAATACAAACAATAATGGAAATGAGCTCAAATGAAACAAAACTATCAAGTCTATTTAGTAGAAGTACAAATTACTCCAGTTAAGTATAGATAGATAGAAAATTTCCACTTAAGTGAGGTAACAAAGTATTTTTACTTGTTTTACTTGACACCTCTGATTTATGATAGCTCTGTTTTTTGTTTAAATAACCTGTAAGGTCTAGAAAAATACCCTTTAGGTTCTGTGAAGGGATTCTGTTAGTTTCTAAGTTTGATTGAGATAAACATTAAGTCCGGGGAAGATAACACAAAAATCAACCCGTAGGAAGGAATGTTTCGGCTTTATTAGATTGTTTTTATTATTTGTTCATTAATGTTTTAAAAGATGCATCTATTTTCCCAGCCTGCTACAATTCACATTTTCTGTAAAGCACACATTTCAAATGTAAAATTTTCAAAAAGCAGAATGTGATCTGAACCTCAGGATTTGAGGAGCTTAACTATGAAAAAACATTTTAAATTTTATGAGGGATTTTTTTTTTTCTTAAGGGTGGAATTTTCTCTAAAACAGCTCCAATTGTTGGATTTGTTTTTTAAATGTGCATCACTGGAAATCTTGAGTTAAAGTCCTGAAAGTGAACACAAACTTTTAACAAATATTTTTTCTTGGATATGTTTCAAACTGGAAAAAAAAAAAACAGTCAAAGTATAGATTTTTTAAATTGTATTAACAAAACTGAGACGGGAACCACACACTGGAAAAAACTATCTATAAATAAGTAACAATTTCTTAAATCAAGTGTATTTACCCTTAATTTGAGTACGTAAATTAGATAGTTTGCCAATTGAATGAGTATTTTTACTCTTAAAATAAGATCATTTAATAAAATGGACTTAAAATAAGACAATGTAATTGTGTTTTCTTATTTAAAGAGTAAATTGGCATAATGTCTCTTTTACCTCCTCAATCCAAAAGCAAATGCACTTATTTTAAGAAAAACTGACTTATCTAGATTTTGATTTTTTCCAGTGCAGATTTGGCTCAGAGGAATCTGTTTTTCTTTCCTGTATTTACACAATGTATTTTCTGTTTACGTACTGTTTACTCTTTAAAACGCAATTTATACTACGAGACAAGCACATTTCCTAGAAGTCTTTAAAGTGATTTATATATAAAATATATCAGAGGAGCATCAACAAGATCAAAATGTAAAAGCTGAGTCATTTGTCTTTTTTTCTAACTTTACTTTTTCCAGACTCCTTTTTTTTTGTAGGTTGATATTCTTGCAAAACTGGCTTGTGTTATTTTATTTTGAAGTGGATCATCACGAAATCTCATTAACTAATGCCTTAAAACGAATTTATTGCAGCCAAAAAAAAAACAAAACAAGCTTAATCTCTGAGTAAATAAGAGGGGAAGATTTTATATATACAGCTAACTCAATCTATGGAACATTTTTTTTATCTTTATCTTTTTATCTCATTTGCACACATTCACATTTACACACACAGAAATACAGTCTTTCGGGATAAAAAAAAACAAGCTATTCAGAGCTGCCAAGCCTGTCCTCCATAGAAGAAAACCATAGAAAGGACTAGATAAAAAGACTTCACTGGCTTCTACTCTCATACACCCCCTTTCCTAACTTGTCTCACCTTGGCAAGACTGACATTAATAAGACTCCTAATTGCGTCCTCAGCAGCTCCTCAATAGCTGCAACACAGGGCCTCGCATCAAAGTCGAATTTAATTTCTGAGTTAGAAATGTCGAAGCTCTCTGCTCCTCATTGTCTGATTTTGGTTTTACCTTTAACAGCCTTGCAGTACATACAAAAATAACAGTCTTTCACATCTGTGGGGGTGTTTGCATTCTTTAAGACTTAAAGAATTACTGATGGTGATAAAACTTTAGAGCATAAAAAGGTGCAGAATTGTTGTTGTTGAGAGAAAACACAGAAAAGCAGATGCTAGGTTAAAGCATGTTTTCAAGTTTTATTCAGTCAGAGTAAAAGACAGAGGAAAAAAAAAAAAGGATGAAAAGTTGTGACTCTGTTATCACAATATGCCTTTTACTCCCACACGTATTCAACCTTTAAAGCGTCCAAGGTAAAAAGCCTTTGTGGAGTTAATTGCGTCTTTTATCGGCGGACTGAATAAAAGCACAAAGCTTTTGCTTATATGTGTCAAAGAAGCTGTGTTTAGTCCGAACTTCCTGGTTTACAAAAGCGTTCATCCAAAAAAACGTAAACTGACAGAATGTACAGACTGAAATTAATCTAAAACCTTATGTAACCGCACTTTGACACCTCTTCAGTTTATGTTCTTGAAAAGCAAATAAAAAAGAGCAAAAATTGATTGTAGATGGCTTGGAAATTGTGAAACACCTACATTAATTTGTAAAAAAAAAGCTTAAGAACATGCAACACTACTTTGACTTTTTGTTGAAAGACAAAACTGCTGCGTTTTCCACGAGTTCACCTTTTAGTTCTTGATGAAAGTGGTTCTTTTCTCCAGCTCAGCTATTCATGGTGTTAGGATAAAACCAGTACTTTGTTTAATTAATGCCTAAGGCAATGCAGCTAAAAAGCTCAATAATTTCAGTTTGCAGATGAAAAAAATATGAAATACTTATGTATAGTATATTACTTTTTTAGGGGAGGTGATGGCCTAGTGCAGAGGTCACAGATTAGCTGACCGCGGTCCGGATCCAGACCCACCTGCTGCCTAACCCGGACCCAACCTAATTTCAAACATTTATAAATTACTGCAGTGTCTAATTTGACTTGCGCCGCTTTTACTGTTTGTACGGTAAAGCCCTCCAGGACCAGGCTGCAAGGGAAGCCAATTAGCCAATGAGCTGCGTCGGTCAGGGTTGCGCAGGGTCATAGATAACCCAGCACATTTTGAGTATGTTTGGCTCAACCTAATGCTGTGAAGCAGGATTCTCCACCATGAACATATTCAAAAATAAAATTCGATCCGGGCTCACTAATGATATGTGCTTGAGAATGGCTTTGTCATCATTCAAACCCAGGTTTAAAGCCTTGCAGGGCTCTCATTAAGCCTTAAAGAAATAATTAAATTAAATTGCCAGTTCAGCTGTTCTGTAAAATATGTGAATCAGGAAATTGTCTATATACAAAACTGAACGGCTGTTCTCTACTTAAAAAAAACACTTTAGATTTTAAAATGGAAACATTTTCTTTCTTTTAAAATATTTTTTTATTTAAAATTTCAATGTATAACATGGATGCATAAAAACATCATTTTATTTCAGTGTTAAATTCTGTTTAAAGTAACAGATTATGAATAAAAATGTCTCTGGACCTTTACTGGTTGATAATTTTCTTTATTCTGACCCCGCTGATTTTTAATTGGTGACCCCTGGGCTAGTCTGAGGAAAGTTGCAAGTACACCGTTCCATCCCCACAGCCTCCACTCTTGGTTCCTGAGCAAGACCCTTAACCCCACACCCCACAATGCCCACTGCTCCCCATGGGGATGGGGAGCACTGGAGAGTTACTTTCTCCAGTGTAAGATCAATAAGCTTCAATTATATTTATAATTACTTAATTAATATTATTTTTAGTCAGCAAGTCCCTGTAATTATTTCACACTGTAGCTTTAACTTTTGATTAGATTTAATTCCTATTTAGGCAAAGCAAGTTTATTTGTATAGCACAATTGAGCACATGCGAAATTTCAAAGTGCTTTACATAAATTAGATAATAAAATAGAAGAAAAATAAAAACCAAAATAAAAGCAAGTAAAGATTTAAAAACACAAAATGTTTAATGTGTTATTTATAAAATATTTTCAAAATGATTTGAAATAAAAAAGGCATTCTAAAAGAAAGTAGTAATAAATATTAAGCTGATGTTAATCTTAGAGATGAAACTGGAATCAGCAGCGCAGTTAGACTAATTAACAAATTATTTATTCCAATGCAGTGTTATTATTTTAAACAGATTGTTAAATGTTGTTATAACACGATTTTTCCCTTTAACATTTTGCTTGACTTTCTGATACTGTGAAGTTAAATAGTTTTTGTCACATCAGCTGCTGTGACCCTCACACCTGCAGGTCATTCCCTGATCAGCAGTGGACCCAATATAAGGACGGAGCCTCCACCTGCTCGCCGTCAGATTGTTGTCTAACCCCTAGTGGTAAACACTCTCAGGCCATCTGTCTGCTCAAGTCTAAGTTTTGACTAAGCCAAGTTTGTTCCCTCTCCTAAACCTGCCTGTTTTCTTCCCCCAGTGTCTCGTCTGATAATCTGGACCCTCATCCTCGCTTGTTATCTTGGACTCCCTGGTGACGACCTCCTGCCTGCCCGACCACAGATTCAAGGATTGCCCCCAAACTCTGACTGGTTTCACGGATCTGACCCTTGCCTGTCTGACCAAGAGTAAAATAAACCTCCTAACTGTGCCAACTGCTCTGTTTGTCCATCTGTGCCTGTAGAGTGTGACAGTACAATCTGACCAGACAACATGGACCCGGCTGAGCAGCTGCCTGCCCCCACCTCAGAAGTCCAATCCCTGAGGGATCTCATAACACGGCAAGGGAGAGCTTTGGGACAGAGCGAGCACAGGCTTACTGGACTGGAGACAGCAAGCCAGACCATTCACATGGAGCTCGCACAGTTGACGGCACAGGTAGCACACCTCACATCTTTGCTTACCTCTGTTGCAGCTCCACAACCGCCTCTAGTTCCCCAGGCTCCAGCACCCGAGGTTCCTCAGCCACAACCGGCTTCTCCTTCGGTTTTTTCCCAAGCCGCAGCCCCATCTGTGAACCACAGCGGAGCGTATGTTCCTGATCCACCTCCATTTTCTGGTGAGCTCTCCAAATGCCGAGGCTTCCTGCTACAGTGCCAAATGGTCTTCAGCCAGCAACCCTCGGCTTTTGCTTCTGACCTTTCAAGAATATATTATGTTATGGGTTTGCTGCGGGAACAGGCTCTAGCATGGGCGCTTGCTTTCTCTTCCACCAACCCTCTAACATCTCTCACCTTTACTCAGTTCTCCTCTGAATTAAGCCGAGTGTTTGACCATCCTGACCATGCTGGAGATGCGTCAAGGCGCCTATTAAAGCTCCGCCAAGGTCCCCGAAGTGCTGCAGAGTTTTCTGTGGATTTCCGCACCGTGGCAGCCGAGTCCGGATGGAACGACAGATCTCTCAGAGGAGTATATTATAACGCCCTAAATGAAGCCTTAAAGGATGAACTCTCCCTCAAGGAAGAAGCAGCCGATCTTAACTCTCTAATCACCCTGTCAATCCGACTAGACAACAGGCAGCGTGAGCGATGCAGAGAGCGGAGCGGGCGACTTCCTGTTTCTCGGTCTGTCCAACCAGTCATTGGGGCCCACAGCGCCCCCTCTGTCACTTCCCCAGAACTGCCGCCTACCCCTGAGCCTTCTGGTGGAGAACCGATGCAGATTGGAGGCACACGTCTGTCAGCTGCAGAAAGACTGAGGCGACTCCAATCTGGAGACTGTTTCTATTGTGGCAAGCCTGGCCACAGAGTAACCAGCTGTCCTCAGCGGCCAAAAGACAGCGCTCATTAGAAGTGGGGAGTCTAATGAGCAATAATGAGTTCCCCCAATCTTCTAATCGTCTTCAGGTAAAAGTTAAACTGTGTCTTGACTCCTCTTCCCATTCTCTAGCTGCCTTGACAGACTCTGGGGCAGAAGACAGTTTTATTGATGCTGAATTGGCAAAGCGGCTGAATATTCCCATTGAACCTGTTAGTCCGCCATTGTCAGCAAAAGGTTTAAATGGCAAACTATTGTTTTGTGTTTCCCACCAAACAGTCCCAGTTTTGACAGTAACCTCGGGTAATCACAGGGAGTTAATCCAATTTAAGATTATTCCCAACTCCAGTTTTAGTATTGTGTTGGGACACCCCTGGCTGGTTCTCCATAACCCTCACATAGATTGGTCTATGGGGAGGATAGTTAGTTGGAGTTCGTTTTGTTCAGGCAATTGCCTTCGCTCTGCCCTACCCAAATCTGACACCAAAGACGAGTTTGTAGAAACCCCGGATTTGTCACAGGTTCCTTCTGAATATCACAATCTAGCAGATGTTTTTAGCAAGACCCAAGCCCAGACACTGCCCCCACATAGACCATATGATTGCTCCATTGACCTTCTCCCAGATGCCCCACTCCCTTCCAGTCGCCTGTACCATCTTTCTAAACAGGAACTAGGGGCTCTGGAGAGTTACATAAATGATTCCCTGGCGGCTGGTCTTATTCGCCGCTCTTCATCCCCTTTAGGGGCAGGGTTCTTCTTTGTTGGCAAAAAGGATGGTACCTTACGTCCTTGTATTGATTATCGGGCCCTGAATGACATTACCATTAAAAACAAGTATCCGTTACCCCTCATGTCTTCAGCATTTGAACTGCTTCACGGTGCAACTATCTTTTCTAAACTAGATTTGCGTAATGCATATTATTTGGTGCGCATCCGTGATGGGGATGAATGGAAAACTGCCTTTAAGACTCTTGTAGGCCATTTTGAGTATTTGGTGATGCCGTTTGGTCTAACTAATGCCCCAGCAGTTTTCCAGGCTCTAGTGAATGATGTCCTCAGGGACTTCCTGAACCATTTTGTGTTTGTCTACCTAGACGACATATTAATCTTCTCCAAGACCAAGGAGGAGCATGTCAGTCATGTTAGGCAAGTTCTCCAACGACTGCTGGAGAACAAACTATTTGTCAAGGCAGAGAAATGTGACTTTCATTGTTCAACCGTGCATTTCCTGGGTTTTATTATTGGAGAGGGACAGATTAGATCAGACCCAGCTAAGACAAAAGCAGTGGTGGAGTGGCCAGAACCGAAGACCCGTAAACATCTCCAGCGTTTCCTGGGTTTTGCCAATTTTTACCGCAAGTTTATCAAGGACTACAGTCTAGTGGTCCAACCACTGACCAAACTCACATCCACCAATCAACCATTTGTGTGGTCACCAGAAGCAGCTGCTGCTTTCAATGCATTGAAACAGTTGTTCGCCTCCCCACCAGTTCTTATCCAACCAGATCCTTGTAAACAGTTTGTAGTGGAGGTGGATGCTTCTGAGACTGGGGTGGGAGCAGTTCTGTCCCAGTATGGCAATCCTGCAAAACAGTTGTTGCCCTGTGCTTTCTTTTCAAGGCGATTAACAGAGGCCGAACAAAATTACAGTGTGGGAGACCGTGAGCTGTTAGCGGTTAAACTGGCCCTGGAGGAATGGCGCCATTGGCTGGAGGGTTCCTCCCAACCCTTTTTAGTCTGGACAGACCACAAGAATCTGTCTTATATACAGACTGCTAAAAGGTTAACACCCCGTCATGCCCGTTGGTCCTTGTTTTTCTCCCGCTTCAACTTTATTCTAACCTACAGACCAGGCTCCAAAAACGCCAAACCTGATGCATTGTCTCGTCAGTTCGACCCCAATTTACCCAAAGAGGAACCTGAGACCATTCTGCCAACCTCTATTGTAGTGGCTAACCTCTCCTGGGAGATCGAACAGTTAGTGAGGCAGGCCCAACAAGAACAGCCCACTCCCAGCAACTGTCCCACTGACCGCCTGTTTGTTCCCGAAGGGGTTAGGTCTGAGGTTTTGCAATGGTCCCACTCCTCCAAGTTTGCCTGCCACCCTGGGGTACAAAGAACCATCTCCCTCTTAAAGAGGCACTTTTGGTGGCCGTCAATGGTTCAGGACACCAGTAAATTTGTCTCTTCCTGTACAGTCTGTAATCGTGGGAAGTCCAGCAACCAGCCACCCTCCGGTTACCTTCAGCGGCTTCCAACCCCAAGCAGACCCTGGTCCAACATCTCATTGGACTTTGTTACTGGTCTCCCTCTCTCCCAAGGTAATGCAGTCATTCTAACCATAGTAGATCGCTTCTCTAAGGCTGCACATTTTGTCCCCCTTCCCAAGCTGCCCACTGCTGCAGAGACTGCCGACCTCCTTGTTCTCCATGTGGTCCGGCTCCATGGCATCCCTCTAGACGTAGTTTCGGACCGAGGACCGCAGTTCACCTCCAGGGTTTGGCGAGCCTTCTGCCAGGCTCTAGGAGCCACAGTTAGCCTGTCTTCTGGTTTCCATCCTCAAACCAATGGTCAGACGGAAAGGGTGAACCAAGACCTTGAAGCTGCCCTCCGTTGTATCATCTTGGACAAACCAACTTCCTGGTCCCAATACTTACCTTGGGTAGAATATGCCCACAATTCACTTACCAGCTCAGCTACAGGTATGTCCCCGTTTGAAGCTTCACTGGGTTATCAACCCCCTCTTTTTCCCTCTCAGGAGCGGGAACTCGCTGTCCCTTCAGTTCAGCATCACCTTCGAAGGTGTCACAGGGTTTGGCGAAGAACTCGAGCAGCACTCTCCAGAACTGCAGAAAGAAACCGCCGTCTCGCCGACCGTCACAGACACCCAGCCCCCAACTATCAACCTGGACAGGAGGTCTGGTTGTCCACCAGGAACTTGCCACTGAAAGACACTTCCAAGAAACTCTCACCCAGGTTTGTTGGACCCTTCACTATTGACCGAATCATAAACCCTGTTACTGTTCGCCTTAACCTCCCCAGGACAATGAGGATCCACCCATCCTTTCATGTTTCCCAAGTGAAACCTGTCCTGTCCAGTCCCTTGTCTCCTCCTGTTCCGCAACCCCCACCCCCCAGGATCGTTGATGATGCCCCTGCATACACAGTGCGACGGCTGCTGGATGTTCGCCGCCGAGGACGTGGTTTCCAATACTTGGTAGACTGGGAGGGTTACGGCCCGGAGGAACGCAGCTGGGAACCACGTTCTGCCATCTTAGATCCTCAGCTCATCCGGGACTTCCACAAGAGGACAAGACGCCACCGGGCGCCTTGGAGGAGAGGACCTGTCACATCAGCTGCTGTGACCCTCACACCTGCAGGTCATTCCCTGATCAGCAGTGGACCCAATATAAGGACGGAGCCTCCACCTGCTCGCCGTCAGATTGTTGTCTAACCCCTAGTGGTAAACACTCTCAGGCCATCTGTCTGCTCAAGTCTAAGTTTTGACTAAGCCAAGTTTGTTCCCTCTCCTAAACCTGCCTGTTTTCTTCCCCCAGTGTCTCGTCTGATAATCTGGACCCTCATCCTCGCTTGTTATCTTGGACTCCCTGGTGACGACCTCCTGCCTGCCCGACCACAGATTCAAGGATTGCCCCCAAACTCTGACTGGTTTCACGGATCTGACCCTTGCCTGTCTGACCAAGAGTAAAATAAACCTCCTAACTGTGCCAACTGCTCTGTTTGTCCATCTGTGCCTGTAGAGTGTGACAGTTTTATACTGAACTCTATACGAACTCTAACAAAAAAGTCTCAATTGATGTGGGCTTAACTGCATTTCGTGTTGACGTTTCAGAAACTATTTTCTCTTTTATTGCCGCTCAATCAGTCACGCAGTAACTGCGAGTGAAATTTCAATCTCTCAAAGAAAAGTTCACATTGTATACGTCGCAGCCTTGAGGGAAACACAACGGCGAAACTTGTCAGCGTTTAAGACGGTTTACTTCAGCGTTTGTCGGAAAGATTCAAGTTTAATTTCCTCCTATTTTCTACCTCCTTCAAACTAAAACCAGCTTTCTCTCTTCTATCAAGAGGATCCTTGTCCTTTAGTAAGCTTTTGTCAGATTATCCCATTCATGCAGCTCCAGTCAGGGTGCTTGAGCCTCTCCTTGAAGGTGAAAAAGGAGAGGTTTGTGTAGGGATGACAAATGTTAAATCATGAGTTTTACTTCATACACACAAACATATACAGAGATCACACGAGTGCCTTCAAAACGGTTTCATTATTCTCAAAGATTCTGTTGATCTGCCTCTTCTGCAAAGCTACAGTCCCAACTTTATTTTTGTTTTCCATTTAGGATTTATAGTAGTTATGGATAAAACATCTATGTAAATAAATGTCACAGTATTTTGTACGTTTTGTATGTTTTTCCTCGAAAAAAACAGATCAGTGCGCATGCGCAGCCAGACAGACGAAAAAAGCAGATCCGCGGACGGACGTAAAACTGGGAAAAACAGTGCAATAATTACTTCTTGATGTCTCTCACTAGGTTGCTTGCTGTTTTGTATCTTAGGGTTAGGGTTAATTTTATGTTAAATTCTATGTTATTGAATGGTGCGTAAGATGCGCATGCGCAAGGATATCTTGTCTCGAGGCAAGACGTTAAAAAAATACGACAAAAAAAATGTCCAAAACGTACGAAATTACGGTGCATAACTTTTCGTACGATTTCGTACGAACTAATAATGAGAATACACTGAAAGGTAGGCAGATTCTATTTGAGATTGTCTTCATTTTTTTCTTTTTGTCCTCAACCTTAAACCTATGTTCTTTACCTCTGGGAGGGACTGATAAGTCTAAGTGTCATATTTCAAAGTGATTGATTTCTGGGTTTTGAGGTAATTTAAGTCTGAAGTTTTATGCACTAAATCTAGGGAAACCAGTTGTGCTGACTTTTGCTCAAAATGCGACCCCCTAAATATATATATATATATATAACTATGTTTATATTTAACAGTGTTTTTAACTGCATTTTTATTAACTGTAATTTATTATAAGTTTAAAAATAGTGAAAAATATCAGCTCAAACAGACCCTGAGGGCAGTTTGGCAGTATTTTGAGTTTTCAGGAGATCATTAGAGCCAGCAGTGTGAAGCATGTCAGACCTATGGCCCTGTTTGTATATTTCGAAATAAAACATGTAAATACGTAGATTGTTTTTAACTTCTAAACATGTCAGTGTCTCATTTTGTTTCAGATTTTAACATTTAGTAAGCTCTATGATTAGACACCATGGACCTGAGTCTTTGAAAAAGGATCGCATTGGTCAGTCACTAGATGTGGATGGCATCGGATTGACTTTTGTCTTATTGTTGATCAGGAATTGTTATTTAAAGCCTGATTTAAGAAAAGAGGCTAAACCTTCCCTCCAGAGTTAATTTCATCAACCAGGACGATGAACGAAAATATTTTATTAACGCCCCTTTTTCCCGCGACGATGACGAGACGACGCACAACATTTTTTTCCAGAAAATAAAAATATGACGAAAATAAAAAAAGATTTTCGTTAACGAGCCTAAGGCCAAACGAGAATTACAAGCCATGGACGAATGGGCATAAAAAAATTGAATTGTTTATAATAAATTTGTAGTTAATATAAGTGTTCTTGAACTTCGTAGAAGATAACGTGTTGTTGCCCTGTTTGTCCCTGCACGGCACCTGTCCCACAGTGCTTAGCGCCGCTCAGTCAGTAGTAGCAGAGGACTTATACTCCTAGAATCACTGGTAGTAGTTAACCGTGGCTAGCCCATCTTCGCAGTCATGGCGTCGGTGTGGATACCGGCGTGTGGTTTGTTGGAAGAGCTTGGCGAAAACAACGCCTTTTTATATATATATATATAAGTGCAATAAATTCTACTCACCTCTCCCTCTTTCTTTTTCTGCTTTCCTTTTTGTTTCCTTGTTCATTGCAATTGAAATAATCCCCAAATAGTTTCCAATAGTTTTTTAAGATACATGTAAATATAGAGTGAAGCATATAGCATAAAGCAGCAATGCTCCATATGTAAAAGAAGGAAATCTATTTGGCTTCTCTATGCTACACAAAAACTACTCTGGGTGCTGCACTGTCAGAAAGGACATGTTGAATACAGATAAAAATATAGATGCTCTCTTAAAAGAAGATGTGGCTCATGGGGGAAAAAAAGTTTCCAGGATTGTCTGCTTTGAGATATTAAGTTCACTCACAGTTTAGCAGATTATTTGAACACCCTGAGGAGCAATAACTCTCACAAATAATTGTTGATGTACAGTGGGGGGAAGTATTTAGTCAGCCATTGTTTCTGCAGGCTCTCCTGCTTAGAGGTCTGTATCATCACAGGTTATCTTCAATTACGAGATGCAAAAAGAGAAAATAAAATAAAGGAAATCACATTGTAAGATTTTTTTTAAGAATGTTCTGTATTAGTGAATTATAGTGAAAAATAAGTATGTAGTTATCCACAAGAAACCAAGATGTCTGACATTAACCGAACTGTAACTTTTTTTTTTTTTTTTACTTTTCTGTCTGCCAATACCTGTATTAATGACACCTGTTTGAACTGATTATAAAAATAAAAGACACCGGTCCATCACCTCAAACAGTCAGACTCCAAACTCACCCATGGCCAAGACCTGTTGAAGGACAGCAGGAAGAACACTGTAGACCTTCACCAGGCTGGGAAGAGTGAATCTATAATAGGAAGCAGTTTGGTGTATATAAATGAATAAACTGTGGGAACAGTTGTAAGAAAACGTAAAGCATACAAGATCAATGATACTCTCCCTCAATCCAGTGTCCCACACAAGATCTCATCCACTGAGCTTAAAATGGTCATGAGATCGGTGAGCAAAAATCCGACTACATGTAGGGACCTGATGAATGACCTGCATGACCTGGGATCAAAGGAACAAAAGCTCCTTTTCCAATGAAAAAGCCAACATTCAAATCCCCAGGATTTGTATTATCCAGGTATCAGGAATCCAGGGTGATTCATCAGCATGCTTTCCCATTAGTCTGGAAGCCCTGTGACAATCGGCATGAGAGAAACTATATTACACCTTCAGTCCAGCTGGTAAATAACAACACAGCTGGGTCTCCCTTTACCTCCAGTGCCGACTAGCTAAAAGAAAATCCCTGAACATAAACGTTTCACATTTCCTTTTCATTAACCTGCATCTGGCCAGTCTTGCTTTTTACCTGTGTAATTCATTTAAAACAACTGCAAAAAACTAATTTACGCTGTTATTTTATGCTATTACAATACCCAGATTAAATCTGTGATATCCACAGAACAAACGGAAAACATTTTTAGACAAACTGTTTAATATTATATGCTTATGTCCACATAAGCATATATTTATGTCAAGCAGAAGCTCTAGACTAGAGGTCAAGGATCAGCGGACCGTGGTACGGATCCGGATCCATCTGCTGCCTAATCCAGACCCAACCTGATTTAAAACATTTATAAATTACTACATGCTGTCCGACGGCAGTGTCTAATTTTACTTGCGCTGCTTCTCCTGTTAATACGGTAAAGCCCTCCGGAGCATCGGCACCAAGCTACACATAATTCAAATTAGCCAATGAGCTGCTGTCAGTCTGGGTTGCTGCTGCTGCTACTTTTATACACAGCAGGCAAACCTTTGGTAAGCCGGGCGATGGGGAAAAAAGGAGAGGACGATGAGAAAAAGAAAACAGAGAACGTGTGGACTGCTGGAAGAACTGCGGTAAACTTGTTAAAGAAAAGTGAAATGGTGCTCAAAGATGACCCTGCATATTTAGAGGATGTTTGGCTCAACCTCCTGCTGTGAAGCAGGATTCTCCACCATAAACAGAATCAAAAATAAATATTGATCCAGGCTCACGAATGATGTGTGCTTGAAAATGGCTTTGTCGTATCGCAAACCCAGGTTTAAAGCCTTGCAGGGCAGCCTAACGCCCACTTCTCTCATTAAGACATAAAAAAATGATCAGTTTAGGTGTTTTATAAAATATGTGAATCAGGAAATTGTCCATATACCAAAATGAACGATTATTGTTGTCTACTTCAAAAAACACTTTTTTTTTTAAATGGAAAAATTTCGTATTTTTTTATATTTTCTATTTAAAACTTAAATGTATAACATGGATGCATAAACACCTCATTTTATTTCAGTGTTGAGTTCTGTTTAAAGTAACAGATTATAATTAAAAATGTCTACAGACCTTTTCTTTATTCGGACCCAACTGATTTTTAATTGGTTACCCCTGCTCTAGACAGAGGATTGAACAATGGGAATAACTCCAAAAGCCAACAGACAGCATCCAACTCGTTATCTTACTGCAGCCCTGTCAGCATAGTGTCTTAAAACATAAAACTAAAACATTTTTATTTATACATTTATATAAGTGGGTACACTCTTAGATTTAGACGAAA